AGACCAAAAAATTGAAATTCACACACGACAAAAGACGTAATATTAGTCATTGCGTATTCAGCAAAANCATCGGCATATCCATCCCATAAAATACATGTTAAACGTGAATTCCTAGAAATAGATATGTTAAATTTAAGCACAAACGAAGCTAACTGATTAGATCATATAATAAATGTAACAATGAAATACAACTTACACGTTATCTCTTAATTCTATATTGAGGCGGCTAATCATGACCCCATTAAAAAGTACCTTCTTTAGTGGATGAATACGTATAACCTGACCAATAACATCTACATAGGAAAAACACAAGTGAAATACGTATCAAAACAATAAAAGTATTACAGAGTTGAAATCAGTAAGCCTTACCGAATAAACATCTTTTATTAAATCGTGGGGAAAGAATCCGAGAAAAGGATTTCAAATATCTGTTCGGAGGGAGGCCATCTGAAGGATTTAATTCTCGGATGACAGTNTCGGGTAAGAATTGTAATCTAAACGGTAGATAACTTGGCCTATATTTTATATGAGATTCCATAAAGCCAAATTTTGATATACGTAAAGAGCTTCCCTCGATCAATTGATGACGAAATTGTTTACCACAATTGAAATCAACTGAGGCACTAAGTCGAATACCCTACAAACATAAAAAAAAACATATTCGATGTATTAGAAGATGAAACATATGTTTCTAATATCAGAAAATAAATTAAGATTTTTATTTTATTTTTAAGAATANCTCATCGTCGACTAAAATCATNTGAGTAGAATGACCAATACCATTGACAACTACATCCCATAATCGCATAATTGCAACATCTATATAAAAATCTAGGGTTCCGAACTTTTTCTCTTTAAGAGAAACAAAAGAAGGCATTATGATTAAGGAGGCCACGTGATCTCTATAGGAATAAACAATGATATAGATCTATATATATAGGATACAAACTAAAACCCTAGATCGAAATATGAAGGCCCATAGTTGATTACGAAATCTAAATAATTAGGTATCTATATGGCCCATAATCGTTATCAATTGATGGCATTCCAATGTAATTAAGTAGAGATTTTAGGGTAGTTTTGGCAATCCAACTCTTAAACTCACTGTAGAGCCGCCACGTAGGAAAAGTGACTTTGCTTTTATAAGTATAGATTATTTTTAAGAATACCTCATCGTCGACTAAAATCATTTGAGTAGAATGACCAATACCATTGACAACTACATCCCATAATCGCATAATTGCAACATCTATATAAAAATCTAGGGTTCCGAACTTTTTCTCTTTAAGAGAAACAAAAGAAGGCATTATGATTAAGGAGGCCACGTGATCTCTATAGGAATAAACAATGATATAGATCTATATATATAGGATACAAACTAAAACCCTAGATCGAAATATGAAGGCCCATAGTTGATTACGAAATCTAAATAATTAGGTATCTATATGGCCCATAATCGTTATCAATTGATGGCATTCCAATGTAATTAAGTAGAGATTTTAGGGTATTTTTGGCAATCCAACTCTTAAACTCACTGTAGAGCCGCCACGTAGGAAAAGTGACATCGCTTTTATAAGTATAGATTCTAATAGGTAAGAGTATATGCGTCAAATATCTTAGGGTATTAGCTCATTTGAATGTGTTTTTTTCCCAACTATATTAACTTTTTAAGAAAATTACTCAAAATTATTTTTTTTTTATTCAAAATATCATTTTTCTCCAAAACCATCCATAATTTCTGAAAATTTACCAAAAAATATATAAAATTTCCCAATATTTTGAAAATTACCCATTGTTCCTTCATATATAACCGT